TACCACTAATAAAAGAACACTTGGTAAAATACAAGTGGTGAATTATTTAAAACCAACTCAGAAATTATTTTAATTCAAATAAAAGTAAATGAATTGTAATGCATGGGAAATGTAAAACACATAGGAAATATGATGCAAGGGCATCTTATAAGTGATCTAAGTCTTAGAATAAGAAAAAAAATTGTGTTTTAAAGTGAGGGTGAATACAAGGGAATTGTTGTAATACATATAAAATACAATGCTAGGGCATATAATGAGTGGTTTAAATCTTAGGACAAGGCTTGTAGTTTAGGAAATTATATTTTAAAGTGAGGGTTCTCACATTCTTGGCCTCACGAGCGTTTTGCTCACCCTGTAGATTTGTTTTTCTTAACAGGAAAGGATTTGGAATGGACCTCGAAGAAACCCCTTTCGAATGTACTTTTGTTTGGGTTTTTCAATGTACTTGCCTAAACTCTAGATTATTGTATATTTTGAGAACTTGATATAAGGATTGGGTACTTGACATATTTCGGAACTCGTGATGTAAGTTTGAATGTTATTTATGGGAGTGACCTCCCTTTCTTACTTATATCATCGTGATGGCTGGTATTTCATTGAGCTTGAACGGGAATTGTCTTGAGTCCTGGCGAGAGTTGGGCAGGCGTCCCGCGGATACCCTTTAGTTCGCCTTAGGGAGAAGTGGGGGAGTCACATAATCGGTCCACTATCACCCAAACCGCATCATGCCCTTTTTGAGTTCGTGGCAACCTTGATACAAAATCCACAAATCAAGGTTAGATGGAAGATTATGAATTATTTAGTTCTTTTTAGGCATGAGAACATTGCTTGCTCATGAGAAATTTGTGAATCTATTTGCAGACCAGCATGAACATCGTTTACCTGGTCAAAGAGTTGTCTCCTCATTGGGTGATGCTGCATCTGAAGTTGCTCATTACTTCACTTTGTCTGAGCTTGAAGATGCAACAAGGAACTTTGAGAGGAAAGTCGGCTCAGGAGGCTTTGGAGTTGTGTATTACGGGAAACTCAAGGAAGGGAAGGAAATTGCCGTGAAAGTTCTCACAAATAACTCCTTCCAGGGCAAACGAGAATTTTCGAATGAGGTAATTCTCTTGAATTGGGATTCATTTACTGTTGGTGACAGTGGCTTTTGCCTTCTAGTTTATTTACCAAAATCTGTTTGTAAAAAATGAAGATAGTAGCACCAGAGACGTGGTGGTTTCCTTTTCTTCCCCTGGGGAAAAGATGACAACTATTGGAATACAGAAGAAACAGGAGTAATGATATTGCTTCGCAAACACAAATTACTTTTGAAGAACTTATTCTAAATTTTTCTAATGCACAGTTTTATCAACTTTTTTGCTTCCAGTCACAAGTTTATCAACTTTGTTTCATTTTTAATTAATTATTCTTCTTACAATGATAAATTTCTTTTTGGCTGCATTACCTACAATTTCGCGAAAATCCCATGCTCATATATGGCTTAGGTGGCTCTTCTTTCGAGGATACATCACAGGAATCTTGTACAGTTTCTTGGATATTGCCAAGAAGAAGGGAAAAGTATACTTGTATACGAGTTCATGCATAACGGGACTCTAAAGGAACATCTCTATGGTAAAGTCTGTTATTTTTCTGATACAAAGTTGTTCATTTTGGCATGTTTAATCACTTGTAACACCTGGTAGGGCCTATAACACATGAAAGAAGGATCAGTTGGATTAAGCGCCTTGAGATTGCTGAAGATGCTGCTAAAGGTGAGTATGCTAAATATGAATCGTTTTAAATTGACAGGCTTGGTCCTCGTTAGGTTAGAATAACAAGTCAAAACGGTTATGCTTGTCTCAGGGATTGAGTACCTTCATACTGGGTGTACTCCATCCATCATTCATAGGGATGTAAAGACCAGCAATATCCTCCTTGACAAGGACATGCGAGCAAAGGTTTCGGATTTTGGTCTCTCAAAACTTGCCGTAGATGGAGCTTCCCACGTGTCAAGCATTGTTCGAGGAACTGTTGGCTATCTAGATCCTGAGTATGACTTTTGTCCTAGACCATAATCTTCTTTGATTGGCTAATAAAGTGCAAGATCTCATAAACTATATGGTCGAACAAATTGGTGATTGAACTTCCAATTTTGTCATTATTAGTCTTTCACTTTTAATCATTGCATGTCCTCTTTCATCAAGTCTATTGCTCTAGAGTTCACATGCTGACAGCATACATTCATGAAATCTGGATTATGCCTTAATTAGCAACCAAATGGGACTTTCCAGGGCATTTATGGGAGTGGACTTTTTATCCAAGATTTTGGATGCTTGGCATATGATCTAGTTCACTAGTTATAGATATTATGAGCTCTTATGTCCTGCCTAAGAAGTGAGTCTGTTGCTATATCATCCACCTGGTCATCTCTACTTGCTGAAGGTCCCAGATAATCTTCATTTATAGGACTGATGGTCTTTGTCTACTTCCTATGAAATATAAAAAGAGTTGACTTCAAGCATTTTCCCAGTAATTGTTTGGTGAGCTCCTGTAAAGGGTTATAAGGTGGGTTTTTTTTTTCAATTTTTTTTTGGTTTTTTGGGGGGCGGGGGTGATGGAAACAATGTAGGACACTAGATCAATATGCACAAGACTATTAACTCTATGCAATCTTAACTTGAACACCAACTCTCTAAGCCAAGAATTCTGTTACAACTACATGCCCATGAACTGGCAACTTAAATCAGCTGAACAGTTGAATTTGTCGTCCCCAAATTTGCAACTATCTTTCACATTTAATGGCAGTAAACATTGTGACTTAAGAGAAATTGAGAAGCTGGGGTCTTCACAGGTTACTGGGAAAAGGACATCTGTAGATAAAGACAAAAGAGTCAAGTGACTTGATGCAAGATTAAAACAAAAGATCTTGTCAATTACATTTATCTGCTGAGCTTTCCCTTAACCTGAAAATTTTTAAAGTCACACATAGGAGATGTGATTGGAAGAAAATCCAAAAAAGAAAAAGTGATTGCACAGTGTCTACTTATCCTTTCTTTACCAAAGATGATATTCCTAAGAATGGCATGATTGGTATTTGCAGCATGCTGCTACCCCTAATTAGGCATTTCAAAAGTTCTTCCTCTATATTTCTTCTGTTTGTATGTGAAAGACTTTGAAGATAGTTTGTCTTATGCTTATATTTCAAGCATGACTTCTTACATTCCACCAATCTTATGCAGGTATTATATCTCCCAGCAGTTGACGGACAAGAGTGATGTCTATAGTTTCGGGGTCATTCTACTGGAGCTAATATCTGGTCAAGAGGCAATTTCAAATGAAAGCTTTGGTATGCACTGTCGCAATATAGTCCAATGGGTAAGATCAGTTGACAATAACAGTACTAGTTATGAAATTGATAAAGCACCTCGAAGTTTCCTGATTCATTACCTGAGGTTCGACGTTGCTGTAGTGAGATTATATTTGAGCATATTATACGATATAGCAATTGCTGTTTATCAGAACGAACAATGTTCCTGAATCCGCATTTATTCCCGCTAATAAAGAAATTAGCTATAATGGTTTTTACTTCTTTACGGGTTTCATCTCTATTTCTTTTTTTAACGAGATTCCAGATTTGACAAAATGGTCCTTAGAGGACTAATCTGTGTAAATCTCTTTGTTGTCCATTTTTATTCAAAGTGCAATCAGAATTAGCTGTTTGACTATCTTGTTGCACCATCTCAGGCGAAGTTACACATCGAGAGTGGAGATATCCAAGGGATCATTGACCCCTCATTGCATAACGAATATGACATCCAATCAATGTGGAAGATAGCTGAGAAAGCTTTGATGTGTGTCCAACCCCACGGGAGCATGAGGCCCCCTATTTCAGAAGTTATTAAGGAGATCCAAGATGCAATATCGATTGAAAGAGGTGCAGAAGCAATCAGGGAAGGTAGCTCAGATGATATATCCAGGCAATCTATTCATTCTTCCTTAAACTTGGGGGGTTCTCTGGACTTGGGTGCAAGTGAGCATTACTTATCAATTGATGAGTCCATTGCACGGCCAACTGCTAGATAGGATTTGTCTACTCACAAGTCTCGCCCTATTTCCCATTTTTTCGGGATAGCTCGAATTTATCCGGAGCGATAGAATATTCTGAGTTTCTCCTCGGCTTCGTTTAGTAGTACTTAATGGCAGTACATATGTGGGCTGTGTAGATTATGAGTTAGCTACTCAATTTATTCCAAATATTGGTCATTGTATTAGCAGAGCAAGATTGGCGGACTGTACCCAGTGGATTATTGAAGTGTTTTTTCCTCCCCTTTTTTGGGGTGGAGATGCTGACTCCGTATCACTATGACACTATCGGGAAGGCCAGAATGGACACCAAGTAGTGTGTCGCATGCCAAATGCTGCTGGCTCTGTGTATTCTTGCCTGGTTAAACTGTGATGATTTAAATGGTGAAACTGACCCTGAACCTGAAAAGTTGTAGTAGCAGCCATGTGAGATGTATCATGGAGGTCATAGTCCTTGCAGCTTGTTGATTTTTCGTCTCTTTATTTTATTTATTGTTTTCTCTATTTGGTGCCAAATGAACGCACTCAAAGAGGAAGGTATATCCATTATTAATGCTTTAGATTACCATCCGTCCGCTGAACTGCAACATTTTTTGTGCTAGGACACCAAATAGACGGATCCTTATTTTATTTATGAGTATTGTTATTGTTATTATTATTTATGTACTCTATTTTCCTTTTTTGGGGGTATCTTTTTTCTTGTTTTGGGGTACTGGAGTTTGAACTCGATACATTTCTCGTGGAACTCAAGATCGATTGCATGGGTTCGAGTCAAAGCGAGCCTTATCGAACTCGAATCAAGAAGATTTGAGAATTTTATTTTATTTTTTTACAAAAATTGAGTGAAAAGACATTATTATCCATCAAAAAATTTCATACAATTTTAAACATTTCGTAAATTCAACAACTCTTGTGGGTACAAGGATAATTTCATAATAATATATTAAAAATTAAAATTAAAAAACCCTAGATAGGCTTCGATGAATTTTCGAGTCTTGCTACTGAATATTCGAATTCGACTCTTTAGGGTCCATCAAACTACTCGAACTCGATTACAATCCTAGACCTGAAAATGAATGTAGAAAAGGAAAAAAAAATCCGCGCTACAAACAAGCAAAAAGTCCCAAATATTGGTGGAGAGAAAGTTCAATAAGAAGGAAATGGAGAAAACGACAACGTCTGAAGGCACAGGGCGATGGCGGACCGCACCGGAACCAACGCCTCGTACACGTGTTATGAATCAGAAGAAGATAGAGGCCAAAGACAAAGAGGATGGGGCAGTACACTGTACACTACATTAGTAGTAGTAGACTAGTAGTACTTTAATCGCCGCAGCAGCAGCAGCAGAATCAAATCCTAAATTCCTAATGGAAAGGAGATAAAAAGGGGACGCCCCCGCCCTTCTTTCCCCCGCCCTCAATTACAAGGACATCTAACAACCAACCAACGGTGTTGATAAACCTAAGCCCATCCCAATCCTCTCATCTCAGTCGTCTCCTCTTTCCCTTCTTCTCCAGCGTCCGATCTCCCCTCTCTCCTCTCCCTGCATCCTCATCACCCTTCCCTCCTCCCCTCGCGCCCAAACTCAAAAACAAAATAATCTATTCCTCCAATTCTACACCCTATATATAAAAGCCTCACTCTCCATTCCTCCCTCAGGTAACAACCTTTTCCTCTCTTCTTTCTTTTTCCACCAACTCCCAATTCAACCTTCTTCACTTCAACCGCTGCAGTGCTAATTTCTATCCCTCCCCTCTCTCTCTCTCTCTCTTTCTCTCCCTCCTTCTCTCTGTTTTCAGTGTCTTCCTTTCTCGCTCTGTGAATGATATGTAGATGCATGCAATTTGATGTATCTGTAGGATTCTCATTATGGATGAACGAGACCTAGGGTTTTTTTGGTTTGATTTTTTAAGGTTGTGCGCTGCTAGGGTTTGGATATGGCTGATTCGTCTCAGGGTGGGACTCCGGCGAGTCCAGGCGGCGGGAGCCACGAGAGCGGCGACCAGAGTCCAAGGTCCGGTGTTCGGGAACAAGATAGGTTCCTTCCCATAGCCAATATTAGTCGGATCATGAAGAAGGCACTTCCGGCCAACGGTAAAATTGCTAAAGATGCCAAGGAGACTGTTCAGGAATGCGTCTCCGAGTTCATCAGCTTTATCACCAGCGAGTACGTCGTTTTGTTATATGCTTCTCTTTATTCGTATTCGTTCATTATTCTGCCTACCGTAGTTTAAGCCGAATGCGGATCATCCTTGGCTAATCTGGAGCTTCTTGTTGCATCTCCATAGCCTCCTTTTTGTCATGAAAAATCAGTTACTTTTACACATTCGTTGTCCCCATGGCTACTTCGGCTGGTCTAAAAAACTTAGCTACCTACCTACGAGTCTGGAAGTGGATTTTCCTGATTCGTTACCTAGGTTTACATGAACTCGTATGATATACTGCTCTCTTCTCTCTGTGATTTAGATTTCCCATAATGTTTATACTTCTGTTTTGGTACTTGTCTAGCCCGATCCATGTTACTATTTGTACATTTGTGTGTATCCACCGCATAAGTTGATTGAAAGAGTTATGGTGGTTCAAATGTTAGGGCAAGTGATAAGTGCCAGAGGGAGAAGCGAAAGACTATTAATGGAGATGATCTGCTGTGGGCAATGGCAACTCTAGGTTTTGAAGAGTATATTGATCCTCTCAAGGTTTACTTGACTAGATATAGAGAGGTACTCATCTTTCTTCTCGTACCTTTGCTTAACATGGTTTGCTTTGTCAGTTTCATATTACCTTGTACAAGCATTCTTATGAGCAGTTAGTGACTGATAATTTTTGTTTTCTTCTGTTATTGTTCCAATTTGCTGTTGCAGATGGAGGTAAATGACTCTTAAATTTTTTTTTTTTTTGCTTTTTTAAAAAATTATTCTGTACTTTTTGTTCTTCTACCTTGTTTACTGGTAACTGTGGCTTGTTTTCTTTTATGGTGGATTTCTCTTGTTTTCTGTGCATTATAGGGTGATACAAAGGGGTCAGCAAAGGGTGCAGACGGGTCTGCTAAAAGAGATGGTGTGCAACTTGGGCCTAGTCCCCAGGTTGGTATTGCCAATGTGGAACATAATTCTATCTCTAGCTTCCTCTGGTTTGCTTGCTGTTTGTTTTTTAATGCCTGTGCAACACATTGTGTGGAAAATTTACCGACATACCCTGTGCTGTGTTCAGCTTGCTCATCAGGGTTCATTTTCTCAAGGCATGAATTATGGAAGTTCTCAGGTCTCTCTCTCTCTCTCTCTCTCTCTCTCTCATTTACTTGCACATAGATTAACTTAATAAACTCATGCATCTGTTGAAACCATAAAAGTATGCATAAGCTAAATGGAAACTTCTTGCTGCTGCCAAATTCAGCATGTAAATGGGAAACTACGTTCACATCACATGCATCATTGAGAGTTTCATGTTTCAATATGGCCAGTACATCCAACTGCTACTTGGTGCATGTACTTCAGCTACTTGCTCTGGAATTGTTTTTCATTGGTTAAGTTCTTGTATAGTTCCTGTGGCATTGAAATTATATATTTTTATTGTCAAAAAATGTTAATCTTTTCAGTTATAGTCTATATTTTGGTTGGGTATATTTCTATGTACTGTTAATTTTTGAGGGGGTAAAAGATAGCCCATGTATTTGGCGTGTGTCTGTCTGTGTATATATCATTGATATGGTTCCCTTCATGCAATTTTCTATTTTTTGTCTTATTTATTTATATAATAATTTGTGGGTAAGTTTGCTTCATGCAGTTAATGAGCAGAAAAGCCTTTTCTCAATGTCTTGCATATGACTCGAATTTGGCCTCCTCTTCTGTGTGCTTATTTCTAGAGCCAGCATAAGGCTTGACATTTGCAATTAGTTGTTGAAAGGTGTACTTCCTCAGAATCATAACTTCATAAAATGTAGACATGTAAATAATGCTATATAGACATAGCCACACCAAATGTTACATGCTGTGGATACACCAAGCTTTACATGCTATGTTTGCTGTTTGGTATGATATGTAATTCAAAATATGCACATAAATTCATTGTAGGATTTCCCAGTAATTAAGTGCATTCATTTTCTTGGAAAAACTTGGACTTTACAATGATTAAGAGAGAAAGTTGAGGCTGTAAAGCGTGCTCTTAAGTGAACTATAAAACTTTTACAAAAGTGAAATAGTTTACAAATCATGTAAAATATTACAAAATTGCTCATGCGTAGATGTGAAAGTGGATGAGATTTGGCATTGTGGTTATATATGGATGCCTTTTAGGATTGGGCACTTATCAAGATACTATCTGATATGAGACAGGAGGCAAGGAGTTACTATACCTATGTATATGACTTATATTGGTATTTCTGTTTGTGCAATTGGTCTGTTATGGCTTATAAATGTCTTCACCAAACTTATCACAGAAAAAAAAAAGAGGAAATTATCTTGTGTTTTCTGTGATGGTCAATATGGATGTGGTAGAAATTGATGGTGGCCGGGTTTATTGGTTGTGTTGGTGATGGTGTCAGTACTGTTGTTGGAGAACTGAGTGGTTGAAGGTGGTGGCGGCACAAATGCTTGTAAAGGGTGGGGAATGGTGTTGGTATCTTGCTTTCTATCTGTGTTTGTTGTTTGATTTAAAAGCACCATGGGAATGAATAGTTATTATGGCTCATGGAGTGATGCATTCTGCAGTTTCTGGTCCATCAAAAATTAAAAAGAAAAAGAAAATTCTGATTATTTTTTCTACGGAGAATTTAAATTTGTCTTGTATCATATATGTGATGCTTCTTATCTTTTGCAGTAGTGTTGCTTGATGGGAATAACCATCCAATTCTTCTCCCCAGTGAAATTTAGCCAAGGTAGCGAAGGAGTTTTAACTGTACCTAAATGAGTACTTTTCTTTTTGTCCAGCTGATTCCTTCTTTACTTTATTGATGGGATGATTAAGCACTTTGATTTTACTTAATGATAATCAAGCCATGTGCCTAATCCTTTTGGATCTCTGGCAATGTTACATGTGCAGGGCTCAACATTTCTCTTCATGTTATGTAACTATTGCTTTCCTACCATGTCTTGAAGCTGCATAAACTTATTGGTTCCATGAAATTCAGAAGGTTTCATGTGTTTATTTTCTTCTTATTGCTTATTACAGGCATGAAAAGCTCCAAAATTGTGGGGAGCAAGATAAGGGAGCTTACCTCTTGGTTTTTTGTGTTGGCTGTTGCTTTGTAGTGGCTGCATATGCATACGTGTGGATTTAGGTTCTGAGTCTTAAAATTCGAATGGCATTTTGAGCATCTATACGACAGCCTATGAGCCTTTTCGTGCCGTTGATAAGTGCTAGATGTATGTCATATGCCCTAGAAAGTGCTGTAGATAGATAAATTCCAGCCAATTTACTGTTTTAACGGATCCATCATATCACCATACATCAATGCCTAATGTATCAAACTTGGAGAGGGCAAAGGAAGTAGGAAAGGAAAATAACTCTTGCTTAGTAGGTGTGTAAAACGTCTAAGCAATGGATGGTGACATGACAATGTCTTTGTCAGCGGAACTGATGTTCATTCTGTCTTTGAAATTTCAGATAAATGGATAATGTTCGTTCTTAATTAATCAACTTCATTATATCTCAAGGGTTAGTAATGACTTTCGTTCTTAATAATGTTAGTATCCACTTTATTGTAGTGTCATGAGATATTATGGCTTTTGTATGAAGTCCGCATGTCTAGTGCTTTCTTCATGGAAAATTATATATGAACTTTTCAATGGTGCTTATGGTATTGGTTTGAATTTGCAGTGGCGAGGTCAGAATGTAATGATCCAAATGCAAGGCATGGAGTAGATTTTGCGTTTGTTTGTTTGATCATTTGTTAATGTGCTTAGAAGTCGTCTTTGGAGTTCTTGAGATAAATACATGTAACCTTTTACTGTGAACTGATTGTAACAACTGGTTTTAGCTTTCCTGTGTCAGTACTGTATTCTGGTTAAATGTACGTCTCTGGTGCTTTTCAAGTAGGTCTCTGATTATTTATTTATAGAGCTATGAACTTTGTGGGCTTTTGTAAGAGATGTGGTATCCTGTTTCTCTTTTGTAAGAGCTCTCAGGATCGCTTATGTTTGCTTACTCCGCCTGCGGGGGTGTGTTTAGTGAGTGTTCAAAACCGGTTTATTTTGACCCGCAAGTCTTCGGACGCGGGACTGCGTTGATGGAACGCTTTATAAGGAATTTTAACATGGAAAAAATAGCAAATCGATTGAAAATTGTGTTGCGCTTGCCGGTTTCCGCAACGTTTTCTTGTCTTGAAGCATATTCTTGTCCACTCGAGAACGTCTCAAGGGAATCACTTTTTCGGCCATTTATGATCGTCATGTTATCTTTAGCCAGTTTAATTTTTTTATTTTTTTAAACGCCAATTATGCTTTCAGTTCTTTGTTCCCCGTGTTTGCCATGGTATTTGAACGAGGGTTAAGCTAGAAGCAGATTTTAAAGGCACCCAGATGAGAAAGGGAGAGAGACAAATCAAGATATAAAGGTTAATTGCTAAGGAGGTTTTGATCTAGCAGTTTGGGTCTGGACTCTAGGAATTAAAGGATAAATTTCACCTCTTCACTGCTAAGAAAAAAAAAAGTTATAAAGGCCAATTGGATAATGAACATTACGCTACAAAAAGGAAAGCACATTTTGGTTTGCAGCAGTGTCTCCACCTTTTTGACTTTGCTTTTCAAATAAGGGAAAATTAGTAAAGCAAACCTAAATTAGTAAAAAAATAGAAAATTTATTCAAACTCGAATAAAATTATATCACGTAAAACAAAATTTCACTAATATTTATTTACAAAAAAAATTTTAAAGCTTAGTAATTTCACACAAACTTGATGTGCCACGTATACTAGTCTATTTAACTATTTTAACTAATTCACATTCTTTAGTATTCGTTTAATTATTCTTGTCAATCCAATAAAATCCCTAAAGATGGAAAGATTCCATAAAAGCATAAAACGAATTCTTTCCAACTAATTTCATTTAAATCATGCATTACTCTCAATTACTTTTTTTATCTTACATAATCATTATTTTTTTAAAAAAAAAACCTATAGTGTGATTTAGCCTTCCTTTTTTTAAATATTATTTTGTTTGCATCATAAATGCACTTTTGAAGTACCTTTATATAAGCCAATTTCTTCAATAACTTTATTATGGCACCACGTAATAAAATGAGAGGACAATAAAAGAACAGCACTGAATAGTAGTTTTTGTTGAAAAAAGTTTCAAGTACATTTGGACTAACCACCAGACATCAACGTCACTAATATTTATGTTCCACCATTTCATATTTAAAAATTTATAATTTTTTATCTTTTGATTTAAGATAGACTTACAAAAAACAATTAATAAAAGAAGAAGAAGACTTTCCATCTGTCCAGCGATTACAGGCCTATCGATATGTCAGGAAGTTACCAGGCTTTTGAGCCATTAGGCCCATTACCACCCTTTGTTCTTTTTAATAATTACCTCAATTTTCGTTACTTCTTGCTGCTAGTGTATTACGTTCCTTCATCCGAAAGCAATCTCACAGGAAGATGGCGTGATTTTCTCAATCGCGTCCATGGAGTCCATGCGTCAGCCGATTCACGATCACGAAACAATACGAGAAAACCCTAACTGCAGCAAAAGTGTCATATTATTGATAGTAGCAAAACTGCTGGTATGGGGTGAGCATAA